ACATCTTTATTAATTAGCAAAGACGACGATAGGAAAACAAGCTAGCTCTAGCAGCTTCTTCTAGCCATGAACAACGGAAATGCAAAAAATATTTCCAAAATTCTGATGCTTTAACAACCTCTATGATGCTAAGTGAAAAGTCAAATTTAAGTATGTTCACATATTGGCTTAGCTAAAAATATAAAGCCAATTCCAAAGTAAAGTCTGCTCAAAAAAAACAGAGCAAAATGGCACTACAATTAGGGAAGGAATGCTAAACTAGATGAATGATTGCAAAGTCTCTTGAAGGAGGTAAAGCAAGGAGGGTTGACATCCTCGTCCATACGAATGACTGGAAGAAAGGGGCGCAAACGATTGGAGTCATAAATCCATTTCGCATCAATCCTTGCTCTGTTCAAACAATCCTTGTCGTCGCGTCATGGGGTGAGGCTGAGACTGTCACAGAATTTGCTCGTTGAGTCTGCTTCCGAATTATGTTCTCTATGTAAAATTCATCTGCCCGATAAGAGGAGCGGACTAGAGGGCCACTGGCCGTATAAAGGAAGCCGAGTTGGTCGGCCACAGTCTTCCAGTGGGCGAAACGGTCCGGATGAAGATATTCACGAACTTACAGTAAGTGAAAGAATATCTCCCGATTAGACAAATAGAGGTCATTCATGAAGTAATGCTAAAAAATAATATCATGTAAAATGTAATAAGACAAAGTAAGAGATTTTCTTGTGAAATTATTTTTAGACCGGAAAGACCCCTCCAGCAATCATGATCAAGGAGCAAGAGACTGTTCAGTTTGACGAAGGCTTAAAGAAAAAAGAAGTAATACAATAGTGCCCTAAGGATTGGGCATAATGGAAAACAGCTGAGACTCATAAATGGCACTGCATCACGGTTATTTAAGGTTTATTGGTCAGGTACTTGTAAACGGTCTATTCTAGACAGGCATATTTCGTATTTATGTTGGATTAGCTTTCATGTCGTTTGAAGAGGTGAATAAAAAGGATTCGTAAGTTGGTTCCACCGGTGACTGTGGGGGGGTTGCCTTGGAGCGGTGGTCGTAAATTTGTGCGAATAGGTCCTCGGCGCACCGCCCTGCGACCCCGATGAATCCTTGCAGAGCTTTCGTCCGTCATATGACGGACATCGTCGGAGCAGGACACCATGTTTAACGATAATTCACCAAAAACAATAGGGCAAGAAGGTGGCCAGCTTCAAAACTACTTCCTTCTTATATTCCAATTTGGTCCATCTAGTTATCTCATTTTTTGGTTGGATGTCCTATGCTTTGCCTCTATATTTGCTGA